CTATCTACCTATCTACCTATCGAATCTATCTATCTATCTATCTATCTCTCTCTCTCTCTCTCTCTCTCTCTCTCTCCTTGTTATATGCATATGCCGGAATACTGTGCTATGTAATTAAAGCCCAGGCTGACACTTTGGTGCAGGATGCTGATATGGACCAGCTTCCCAAGGAAGCTGTGCAGACCGGACAACTGGGTGAGCAGGCAAAGGAAGCTGTGCAGACCGAAGAACCTGGAGAGCAGGCAAAGGAAGCTGTGCAGACCGGAGAACCTCGTGAGCAGGCAAAGGAAGTTTCGCAGACCGGAGAACCTCGTGAGCAGGCAAAGGAAGCTGTGCAGACCGGAGAACCTGGTGAGCAGGCAAAGGAAGCTGTGCAGACCGGAGAACCCGCCGGAGTGGAGCAGGCCACCAAGGGTCTCGAGAGGATCAAGTCGGAAAGCTCCGGACAGCTCAAAAGCCTTGACAGTATGACGACACTCAGCTGGGGCCGCAGTGTCAGCTTGGACACCCTGCTGGCGAATATGTACACTCCGGAGAAGGCAGCGGTGCCGATCGGGGAACGGCTTCTGGAACTCCGCGGCAGGCTTGTCCAGGCCTTCGTTGATGGAGCTACGTGTGCGGCAGATGATACGAAAGGGCGGCAGGTTCTCGGAGACCTCATCACGGACTGGGTGATGGAGTTGGATCAGGAGGGCAGTGAGTCCTGGGATACTTTTGTCGCGCAGGCGAGGAGCCTGCAGGATACGATGGCTATCTCTGCAGTGGAGTGTCTGGATGGCTGGACAGCTCTCAAGGGTCTGGCTAAGAAGGAGGGCGAGCTGAGAGAGCAGCTCCAACAGAAGATGGAGCATGCAGACCAGGCTGTGGCAAAGGCTTTGTCCAGTGTGCTGCAGCACGCTGGGCAGGCCAATGCCACTTCCAGCAGTGCAGCTGTTACACAGCGAATGGCCGCTTGGAAGAAGACCCTTCTGGACAAGGGCTACATGGAAATGCAGCTGGTCAAGGACCAGGTGCGAGTGTGCACCGAGCGTGTGGAAGCCGCGACGTTCCGGCTGATGAATGAGGCCTTTGCACAGTATGATCAGGAGCGCCCCAAAACGGAAGACGAGATCTTGGGGGCCCTCATGGAGCAGGTGGAACAACACATGCAGGCTTTGCAGTTGAGTGAGGCGGACCCCACCTCAGCAGGTGGCACCGGTGGAACCGAGATGGTGGTGGATGCCGGCCGTGCTCCGAAGCCCACCGACAAGGAAGAGGGTTTCTGTTGCATTCAAACCGCGACTCCAGTAGAGTTTTTAAGTATATATGGATAGTCAGATAGATCATCTTCCACCCTATGGGGCCCAACTACATTACTATACTTGTCTGACCCCTGCAACCGAAAGCTTGAAGCTTAAGCCCTTTTTAAGTCATGTCGTATCTTATCTGGTCTTATATTCTAGACTCTATATGTATGTATATATATATATGTATGTATATATGCACACATATACATGTATGTAACCTTAGCAAATTCAATCATGCTATTCCGGTACTGTGGGACTACGACCCTACAATGCATCTTTGCAGGATGCCCCTGCTGAACGGCCCCTTCGTGGCTCGCTACCCCCACCCCCTCCTGATCGTGCCGTTGCCCTCCAGCTGGAGCTTACTCGAACCGGGCTGCAGCGCCTGGACGCCAGTCAGCTGGAGGCTCTCAGGGCTGGTTCAAGTATATTCTAGGATAGCTTTGTACATATATTTCGTTTACTAACAACAGTTCTTGTACTCGCTCACAACAAGAAACGTCAAAAGTGCCTGCTAGCAGTAGTAGTACTAGTAGTAGT